CCCCGCCCCCCAAAGCCTCCCCCCCAGACGGAGGCAGCCACACACGTGTGCTCAAAATAAAAATTTATTCGTTCAGTAACAAGGACAGGGGCTGCGCCCAGGCGCGCCTTCACATTTAAAAACAGCCGAGCACGTCCGCCGCGGGCTCGGGGGGCTGCGCGGGGCACCCCAGCCCGACGCACCAAGTCACATTTGCAGAAAGGAAAGAGAACGGAGAAGGCACTGGCACCGCGCCGTGCCCTCGCCCCTGCCTGGCTGCTCCTGCGGGGCAGGGACCGGGCATTTCTGCTTCCAGTGAAGACCCATTGGGGCCGGTCACCCCACCCCGGGGAAGGGAGCTCTCCCCTCGCCCTGGGGAGGAGAGCGTCTCCCTCTCCTCCTGCCAGCCCGGTCACGAGCAGGAGTTGGCGGCCAGCGACCGGCTGCCCCTGGCACAGAGGCTGGTACGAGCTGCCCCTGCGCGTCTCAGTGCAGCAGGACACGGGGCAACGGGCCCCGCAGCTTTCTCCTGCAAGGCTCCCAGGGCGGTACAGCCCGGCAGGGGATGGCAGAGACTGCCTGGGGGCAGCCCCGCACTGTAAACAAGGCCGTGCCCGCTGAGGGCTGGGCTGAGACCGGGCTGCAGCTTGCTACAGGAATGCAAATGGGAAGCTCCAGTGCCCGAGCAGGGGGAAACGCAGCTGCTTCCCCAGCAGAGGGAAGCGCCCACGTTATCCTGCGCTGCAGCTGCCTGGGCCCAGCCGGACAGGCCCAACTGCGGGTCCTGCTGGGCCTGCGGCAGCCCCCGGTGCGGGGAGGCGGCGGGGATGTGTGGGTGCTTCTGGAACCTGGAGGGGTTTAGGCCTCACTGCCCTGACTCTCCAGCCCTTTCCCAAGGCCTGCTCAAACCAGAGACTCTGGGCATCTTCCCAGCCCTGTTAAGAGGGGACCTATTCTGCCTCCCCCCAGCCTTGCCAGTGCCACAGCTGCAGGGGCAGAGCAGGGGTGAGGGGTACAGCCAGGACCCCCATGTTCCAGGGCTCCCCCCTCCCCAGGACAGCGGGGGAAACTTTTGTGAGGCTGCTTCAAGTATTCAGGCTGGAGGAGCCGTGCCTGTGCTGCAACCCCAGGGCAGAACTGGGAGGGAGCAGAGGAGCTGGGGCTGGAGCTGAGCTCCCGGCAGGGAAGCTGCTCCAGGGTCTTCGCACTGCATGGGGAGGGGTGACCCCTTCCTGTCTCTGCCTCACCCCCCGTCTCCTGCTGCAGGAAGAGATCCCTGCAACACCCCTGCAAGCTGCTGCTGGGGGAGGAGACCCCCACCCCAACCACCCGCTGGTCCAGACAGCACCGCATGCATCCAACCCCATCATACACCGGAGCAAGGCTCGGCCCTTCTCCCCGTGCTTTCCCGGGAGATGCTGGGAGAGATTTTGCACGGTATTTGCACCTGCTCCTTGCAGGGTTGGGCTGCTCCGCACCCAGCCTCCCCCCGGGCCCTGCGGTACCGAGTGAGCAGGCCACAGCTTTCCTACAGGGGCCAACGTCTCACCCTGCTGCACAGGTGACACCCAGGTGCTCAGCACAGCCCTGCATCACTGGCACGCAAAATCAAGTTGCTATTCATGTCACACCCTTTCCCCCACGCTCTCCAGTACAGCAGGAATGTGCCCAGTGGCTCAGGGCGCTTGAGATTTTCAAATGGCCTAAAACCTTCCTTCCAGTCGCGAGCGAGGCGGCCGGGGCGGCAGCCCGGCCCTGGTGGGAAGGGAGCAGAGCTCATGCACAACGGACACAGTATTTGGCAGAAGCTGGCGACGACAGGGCCTCACTTTTGGAAAGGGAAGACAGGCTCGAGGCAGACCTCCTGGAGGTCACATGCGGCTTGCACCGAACACCACAGAACCGGGGGGAGGTGGCTTTGTTTCCAGTTTGCAGACCACAGTCTCACCCTTTTTTGTTGTTGTTTAAAAAGAAACCATAGGAAATGACAAAACCCACTATAAATACTGTATATATACACAACGCAGGGGGAAAACCACATCCGGAAGAGACCTTCCCTCCAGGTTAAGTGTTAAAAGTGACAGGAGAGAGGAAAACCTTGCATTCAAGAGAAACAAACCATGAAGACGCTTGCTGGCTTTGCAAGCAAGGAGAACTGTGTGGGTGTGTTTGCGTGTGTGTGGAGCAGAGGGAGCGACTCAGGCAGCACGAGCGAGAACAACTTTAGGGTGGTGCTGGTGGCGCGGAGGACACGTGGAGGGGAGAACGGTGGATACATGATATGGCCATTGTACACGGAAGGCCCACAGCAGTATTCAAGTAATGAAAGGGTTAAGCCCCCCTTGTTTTAAAAGAACACCCCCCAATTTTCAGGGCTCGGCAGCTCCCCAGGCACTGGGTCATCTCCAGCGGAGGCTCCCCACGGCCTGGCCTCTGCCCCCTCGTTCGCAATCAAAGTGCATGGGCATGGATTTGCAGGTCCGGGGAAGCAGGAGTCCAGCAGCCAGCCCTCCGTCTGGGCCAGACCCGTCCTGCGGGCTCGTGCCAAAGCAGCTCGGCCCACGGCCGCCGCGGTCAGCGAGTTCCAGTTTGCTTATGTGGGGTCAGCCATGGGGTAACGCTGCATCCGAGTGCAGCACCCGCTCGGGCAGCTGCCGTGGTGCAAGGGAAAGGCAATGGGGGTGGGTTTAGCTTGGCAGGGATGAGGGGGCTGCCGCCGTGATTTCCGCCTGGCTGGGGTGTTCTTTTAAAACAAAGAGCACGTCTGAGGTTATCGGAGTTTAAAAAAAAAAAAAAAAAAATTAAAAAACAACCCACGGCCTTGCAGTCGGAGTCACACACAGAGAAACACAACCCAAACCTACATGCGTCAGGAACAGTAAAATGACTATAAAATTAACCAATAAAGTGCATGTTCCTTATATATTACACCTGCCCCTGGGACGAGCGCGACGACGTGGGGGGGTGAGGGGGTCACGGCGCAGGGCTCGGGTTCACATGGTGTTATAGAGAGGATTGGGCGTCCGCTTTTTGTCACTAGGCTTTTTGAGTCTCCGCAGGGGGTGAGTTCTGCCGTGCTGCTGCCGTGGCGCCATGGCCAGCTTCACAGCCGGGCACGGCGAGTCCGGCCCCGGCGCCCAGAGCAGCGGAAGTGCCTCTTCGGAGTGAGTCAATAGAGGTGGCGCACCAGGGACCGGGCCCGGTGGACCCACCCGAAACTCTTTGGCATACTGCACGAGGGGCCGCGCCACCGGCTTGCTCTGGGCAATGCACTCAGTTGTTTTAAGCTGCTCTACAAAATGCTTCGTGGGCTTTGGATCGGCGAGGCCCGGCAGTGAGGAGGAAGATGTGCAGAGCCTTCCAGGCGGGCTGCCCACGGGCAGCAGGTGGGGACAGGACTCAGAGGGGGCGCGCTCCCTCTCGGCTAAGTCGTCTTTCGAGAGGTCCAGGCAGTCCAGCTTGGCCAGGGAGGCCGAGCGCTTCATGTGGGATGGCGCTGTGAGCCCCGCGCGCCGCATGCGTGCCTCGAGCTCTGTGGCGCGCAGCTGGACCAGGCTGGGGTGGCTGCTGCGGCCCTCCACGCTGCGGCTGCTGGAGCTGTGCGGGAGGCTGGAGCAGAGGAAGAAGTCCCAGCCTTCGCAAGCCTCCGTCTGGCCCCCGGCAAGGCGGCCGAGCACAGTCAGGTCCTCGTGGCTCAACAGCATCAAGGCACTGCAGCTGCCCCCGCATAGGAGCTGCCCACCCCCACCGGCGCTGCAAGGTGTGGGCGGCTCATCGTCCGTGCTTGTGCTCTGCTCCGTGACGCCCTCCAGGTGAAACGGGCTCAGGCACTCGGGGTCTGCCGAGGGTGAGGGTATCGCCTGGCCAAGGGGGGAGGTGGCACCCAGAAGCATCGGTGTCCCACCACAGCCCTGCTCAGGGCTGCCTGGGGTGGAGGTGGCCTGCTGGGCTGCCGTGGGTCCGGGTGTGGGAGGGTGCTGCAGTGGCAGAGATTGCGGGCACACGGCGGCTGTCCCCATGCACGCCGAGGGGTTCAGGTTTTCATCCAGCGGTGGCAGCTCCAGGGTGGCTGTGCCTGGCCCTGTGCCACCCTGCCCACAGCCGGCATCACACTCGTGGGGGCCCAGCAGCTCAGACGCCTGTGCGTACTCGATGATCTCGATCCTCTTGGGGAGGGGGCCAGGCAGGGCCGGCACAGCGGAGCTCTCCAGCAGCACGACCGTCCGGTGCTCCCGCACTGGCCCCTCCTGCTCCATGCCAAGCTCCGCGGGCAGGGGCTCCACAACGGGGCACGTGCCAACAGGGGGTTCAGGGCTCCCGGGCCTGGCTTGGTGGCTGTCGCCCTCCCCGTGGGTTGGGACCGGCTCGTGAGACGGCTCCTCGCTCCTGCCGCGGGGCGCGGGCTCGGTGGTGGCAGGGTCGTTGCGGGAGTTCTTGCGGGTGGGCAGCAGGCCCCCAGGCGCTCCGTGCTGCTGCTCCTGCTCCTGCCTCAGGCGCTCCTCGAACTCCAGCGTGGCACGTCGCACCGAGCCTGGGCACCACTTGGGCGCCAGGGCAACGCCTTCTCCCTGCAGCTCCTGCTGGTCCTCTGCTGGGCTGCTCTCCTCTGGGTCAGCCCCGTCCTCCTCTGCTTGCAGAGGCTCTCTTGCCTTCTCCTGCTGGGCCGTGCAAATGCCATCGCCTGGCTCGGCCTTGCCAGGCTTGTGTTCGGATGGCCAGGCTGCCTCAGCTGGCAGCTCGTGGACTGTGTTCCTCTTGGGCGCCGCCAGGGTGTGGCCAGCAGCACCATCCGTCTTCTGCAGGCCCGGCCCCACGCCCTGGTGGATGGACTCGATTTCCGTGATGATCTCCTTCACGGATATTGAGTTTTCCGAGTGGGATCGCGTGAGGGGGCCCGTGCCAGGCAGCTCCGAGACTTCCTGCAACACAGAGACACGGGCATTACAAGACGCACACCAGCACAAATTATTCTGAAAGGCCTGAACAGGCGTCATCCCCCCCACCCCGGAAACCCCTGGCCTAGTGCAGCGCCACAGACCCAGCTCCAAGTGGGCTTGCTAACAGCACCCCGGGCACCTCCGGGACTGCGTTTAAATCCCTCCAGCAGGATTTCTGCACAGCCATGGAAAAATCGCGTGCTCAACACGCTTGGGCTCCAGGCCTCCAATCTTTACACCGTAATGGAGATCAGCACCGACACCTGAATAAAACTGCCGTTTGGACACCTGGTTTCCTATGGATGTGTTCCTGTATGACCACTCGTGCATACAGGCCGGAGCCCTCGTCGAAAGGGTCCTGCGAGTTCAGATGTTTATGACTTTCCCCTTGGAGGCTCAAGCAGAGCGGCTGTGCACTTCTGAGGCCCGAGAGACCCGTGGCAGAGTAGCCCGGAAGCACCGCCTCATTCTTGCACCTCCCTAGGGCAGGATGGGACGGTTCGTCCTATCTGCAGAACTCTTCAAGTGCAAGGCGACAGCGTTTCAGCAAGTTGCAGCTGACACATCGCAGGCATCAGTTTGCATAGAAGATGACCGACCTCGGCGTCCACCCACGCTGCTCTGGCACCCTTGTGAATCTTGGCTGACCTCCCTCAGTCCTGACCCGCCGCCCTCCTGATTCTCTCCTCCAAGTTCTGGCCTCGTTGCTCACCAGCCCTCACCGGGGGCGCTCGCCCCCCGAGCACAAGGGGCCGCGAGGGCACTGAGAGGCTAGCCCAGGCATCTGACACCAACCCGCACTGAGTACCTGTAGTGCCTCCCACTCCTCTCCTAAAGCAAACTCTCCTGTGCTAGTTGTACGGAGACACATGATACTGGCAGACTGGAAAGCTTCCTGCACATCTGCCCAAGCAAATGCAGACCTGCCACCAGGAACATGCAAACAGGGGCTGCTAGGAAAGCAATAAGCTGTCCTAACCTTTGCTTGCTCCTCATCCGTGGAAGAATCTTCCGACGCTTGAGGGGAGTTGCCCAAGGAGCCGGTTCTCTGAACCGCAATGCCCGTCTCCACTGCAGGCGGCACCTCCAGCACTGATCCCTTCATGACCCCGTTCCTCCCGCTGCCCTGCTCTTCCGGCCTCGAGTGGGAACAGGAGCGAGACTGGCTCTCTTGGGAGAGCTCCACAAATTTCTCCAGGGCGCTGAAGAAGTCGATCCGGTCCGTGCTGAAATCAGCAGCTTCGGGCTGGGAATGAAGCTGTGGGCTCGGGGAATCCTGGTCGGGCGACCTGGGGAGGTCTTTTAGCCGGGCAGCAAGTTCTTCCATGGGGACCAAGTGCACGTTCATGTCTGGCTTAAGGGCATCTTTCTCCAGGTCATCCACTGTCAGGTCGGGGAAGTCCGTGGCTATCTCCAGGGGCTGGTTGAGCTGCATCAAGGCCTCGGAAGCATGGCAGTTATCCAGGGGGCACTTGGATTCGTCGAGGCAGCAGCCGGCTGAGCACCCGTTGATGTTGTTCAGGTTCAGCTCATCCTCGATCTGCTCAGCGTGGAAGTCTCTGGACGTGAACTCCAGATGGATCCTCCTTTCCTTGGTGCACAGCTCATCAATCACAGCCGCATCCCCCTGGAGCCGGCGCTCCGTGCTCAGCTCAGCCGCGTAGGCAGGGGATGCCGGTGGGCGGCTGTCGCTGGGCTTGGCCTCAGAGATGCGGTCGGCGGAGGTGGTGATCTCCTTCTTGTTCAGCTCCATCCCAGGTTTGCAGATGGGTTCGTGGTGGTCGGAGAGGTCGCTGTCCGAGTGCGAGCGCCAGAGCTTGTTGTGCCGCTGCTTGCTGTGGGGGGGAACAGAAGGGGACACGTGTTAGTCCCTTGCTGGAGACACGACTGTGCGTCACAAACCTGGCAGGGGTGAGCTCGACTTGTGGGGAGCTTCTAGGCCAGGTCTTGCGTGACAAATAGCCTCATCAATGACACACTGACCCAGAACTGAGTCAAGAATAACTGCGTGCATCTAGGTGGGCAGCCTGCACACCCAGGGGCAGAGGAATGCAACATGGTTGGAAAAGCAAGCAAGACAGCCCTTGCAACCAGCCTGTCACCTTGATTTGGACTGTGGGGGTTTTTGCCTTCTTCTGTCATGGGGGTGTGGCCCTCTACCTGGGATCTTTCGAGTGTATATTAAAAACCTTTTACAGAAGCAGGACGTTGGCTGCCATGGTCCCCCTGCTTTCCCTGTGCAGGGTTGGGTGCAATGATCTGTGCTGCATCAGGGTGACAGCAGTTAAACAAAGGGTTGAGATGGTGGATTTGTATAAGTTGCTTTGGACAGGGCTGGTCCTGCCTCAGGCAGGGGCTGGACTGGATGTGACCTCTGGAGATCCCTTCCAGCCCCGCTTCTCTTGGATTGCTAGGGTGCGCTTGCCTTGTGAGGCTCCCTAAAACTCCCAAGGCCAAATCCGGCCCTGCGGAAGCGGGCAGGACCCCAGTGAAATACAGAAATCACTGTGGCACAAGCGAGCGAGCTCCGTGTACTGCTTGGGCGCTTATGCACCCCCAGTGCTAAGGGGGGAGTGTGCATGTGTGTGCATGTGCACACACACATGCGCTAAACAAGCCTGTTGGCCGTATGACAACATGCAAGCGAGGGGTTCCTGGGGTTGGCCCCTTATCGACTTGGGCAATAGTGATCATTGCTTGCTGGAATTCGCCATCCAGCGCAGGGCGTCAAGGGCCCGCAGCAAGGCGGTAGCCCTAGACTTCAGGAGGGCCAACTTCGTTGAGATGAGGAGATTAGTGGGAGAGGCACTGGGGTCCTTGAGGGCAGAGGAACTCAGCGTCCCAGACGAGTGATCGTTCCTTAAGGAAACGATACTCAGGGCCCAAGGGGTGTCCATCCCGACAAGAAGCAAGGGGGGCAGGAGTGTCCGAAAGCTGGCTCACCAAGGGCGTCTGGGACTGCCTGCTTGCCAAAAAGGTGGCATACGCCCTGTGGAAGGGGGGTGAAATCTCCAAAGAGGAGTATACCTCCTCTGCTCGGGCCTGTAGGCGAGCTGTTAGGAAGGCCAAGGCGGACATAGAGCTCGGATTAGCGTCCAAGATTAAGGATAACAAAAAGTCCTTTTTCAAATATATTGGGAGGATGAAGAAGGCGCCGGGTAATGTGGGACCCCTGCAGGATACGCTGGGCAATCTGGTGGTTGCGTCAGAGGAGAAAGCGGACCTCTTTAACCAATTCTTCACCTC